GTCTGTTTATCCACAGCTGAAGCCCAGATATTAATAAATACTAATATTAAATAATGCATTTTTCCCCTCAGTCTGCATCTGAGTTCTCCCTTTAAGGCTCAGATTTCTTTTCTAGGCTGCTGTAGAAAAGCTTCCACCCCACTCTTGATGGAGGTACCAGCTACAGTACATCCCTGCTGCCGTGATTTATGTGAGGTAGGGCAAGGCAGCGAGTCCTGTCATAGTGCCTCCTGCCAGGCAGGTATCATTAGAATCAAAGCCAGGGCTGCTGCCATCACTGGGGTATGCGTTTGAGTACCAGGACTGCCACCTTTGGGCTGTGGGCTCACTCTGGGTTCATTTGCTTTGGAATTAATGGTGAGAGCTGGAAGCCTGCCCAGATGTTGTTGAATATTTGTTTGGAGCCAAGTTGGTGCTGAACTGTGGTTAGTTGTGAGGCATTTCAGCAGGCAGCAGAGTGCTTTAGAGGTGGTGGTGGGACTCTCTATGTGTTCCCCCTGCTTCATCCTCCAGTGCAGGATTTGACTGCCCGCATCTTGAGGGAGAGATATAGAAGTGCGATCAGGGAGCTGTGAAGCATGATGAAAAAGGTACATATTGCATCAGTCTTACAGGTACTGGCTGCTACCAGGGCAACTTCATGTATGCTGGGGGATTTATTTTAGTTCTCTGACTTTTTTTTTTTTTTTCAACACAACTTTAATCAGCTACTTAGCCAATGCCAGCAAGGTTTGCAAATCAAAACCAAATCTGAGCATAGCACTGTGCTAATCTAAGATGCACTTTGATTTCCTGCCTAGGGCTTCTCCTCCTGGCTCCGGTTTGGTGCACGTACAGTGCTGTACGCTCAGAGACATGTTTTAGATACAGAACTGCTCAAGAAATGTGGTGGCAGCTGCTCCAAGCTCTGTATTTGCTGTGTTTGTCACTAGCCTGCTTGCATTTAGGAAATGGATGTTTGAAGTTAGGTGGGCTGCAGAGGAGTCCTAGATTTGTCAACATCTTACATGGAGTGGTTCTTGTTGTGTCTTGTAGACTGCTTATGTTCCTACAATTAGACAAAAGTGCACTCTGTCAATAAAAATAACCCTCATAAGAAATGTTGCACGGTGCAAGTAGTGTGTGAGCAGAGTATTTTACATAGCACGTATATTTACTAATGCAATCCTGAGCAGTCTAGCTCTGCTGTTTGCCTAAAAGCAGCCCCTCAGAACGCTCTGATCTTTCACCAGCAGTGCTGTGGCTGACTTTCCTTACTGTACGGGAATCAGTGTAGAAGGGAGTTTGCGATCCATCATTAGTCTATGTTTTTCCAGACAGGTCGGCCTTCCTCTCTGTGGGAGAGTGCAAACTGCTGCTGGAGGCATGAAGGAGGGATTAGCATTCATCTTGTTCTTTTCCATCTCATAGGCATAGGGAGTTTATGAATGTGCTGCTCCTTTGGGGAGCATTTCTTCTTGCCCCAGTGTGAAGGCTGCAGAGAAGTTGGTACGACTGTGTTGGTTGTATGCCCCTGGTTCAATAGATATGTGAAAAAGTTGAGCATGGCAATACTCTGGGAGAAGTCAAAAGTGGGGAATGGAAGGACTGATGCAAGCCTGGGGCAGTTGGTAGGAGAGCTTTCCCAGCATTCATGCATTTGAGGCCTGTCATGAGGGGGAGCTTCTGTCGATCCATCTGTCTGTCCATCTATTCCTCCATCCTTGTCCTTCAGCACCTTCCCAGTGCAAGTGTCATGGTGTTGCATGCTTTGCAGATGATACATCTGCTGCTGTCTGCCTCCTTCTACAACAGCACCAGCCTCTCCAGCACTTCTGTTTCCCTTGAAGAGCCAGCAATAGCGTTGTGGTCCCCAGGGTGTCCTGCTGCTGCCGCCAAATTAGAGTATTTCTCTCAATTAACCGCCAGGCAATCCTTCTCCTCCCCATCCTAATGGGGAGTGGTTAATAGTTATCATTTGCTAATCTAGGCATCTGGAAAGTTTGTTCTCAATGGACTGCAGTCTGGAGATCTCACTGCTTGTTCACTTTGTAGGCCCTGCAGCTGGGTGGGCAGTAGGTCCACGTCAAGGGTTTATGGGCTGTGGCAGTCCACCTGCTGCCCTCCACACTTCCTAGCATGGACCTGGCGTGAGGTGGTCTGCAGGATTGAGGCTGCTGGTGTGGCTGGTCATGGGCAGCATCACAGCACTTAGGAAGCCTGACAAGCACCCTGCACAAATGCAGTGGTTTTGGCTGGATATGGTAAGGATTTTCCCTGGGGATGACATGGGAATTGTTGCTAGCAGGCATCAGATGTGCAGAGGTCTGTACAAGAGGAGCAGTGATTCCACTCAGAGAAAGGCAAAGGATGGGAAGCACAGCCATTCAAGGGGCTGTTGGGTCTGAATGGGTCTGTGCAGAAACACATCATGGGGCTGAGCTTCCCTGTTCAGACACGCCTGTGTTCACGTTCCAGTCGGGCTCAAAGAGAACAGGAACAGCACCATCTGTGTCCCACTTTATTTTTAAATAAGGTAAAATTCTGAATGCCAGCCATCTGCCAATGGCAGCACATCCAATGTGTGTCGTCTTGTCCAAGGTGGAGAAGGGACATGGTGTAGTGGATGAGAGAGCTGCAGGTGTGTGGGCCAGCTGCTGGGCCACAGCAGCACTGTGGTATGGCCTGGTGTCTGCTCTGCTGCCTTCTGTTGTGCCAAAATAGTAGTACACAGCAGAAAAGGACTCGGGTCCCTTCCCATTGGTAGGATCGACAGCACTTCATTTGGGAAACTCAGGATAAGGTGTTAGCGTTTCTGTGGAGGGTGTGCAATGTTGGTGTGGTTTGGAACTGCCAGACTGATGAATGAGACAAGGAGATAGTCATCACTTTTTTTTTTTCCTCCTTGTAGCCTGGTCACAGGGCATAATGTTGCTTTGGAAACAGTTTAGATTGCGGTTTTGTACAAGTTGGCTATTAAAATAGGTCTGCTATCTTGATGGGAGTTAGTATGAGCCCTTAGCCTGCTGCAGGAATTGAGCAGACTCATTTTGCTTTCATAATTTTCCTCCCAGGTCCCCTCAGCAAATTCCCCATCGAATTTGATTTGCTTCTGAAAGTGCTTTTCCTGAAGTCAACAAGCCTTGTTCAGTGCAGTACTTGTGTATCAAGTGCTGAGTCTGGTCCCATAGATCTGGGTGAATGTCAGCACTAATAGGGCAGTAGAGAGTTAAAAATAATTGAATATATATATATATATATATATATAAATTAAAATATTTACATTGGAAGCTGCAAAGCATTTGCTCTTTGAATAAAACAAAATTCCCCATTGTTCTTGTACAATTGTTGCAGTCTGTCTGAAAATAGCCAGGAAGAGGTTGAGCCATGAGGAAAGTCAGGGCTGGCGGGAGAATAGGAGGGCAGTGATACTCTGCTGGCCAGTGGCTTTCCAATTCCTCAGACATTTTCTGTCGTGAGAGCTAAAGACTCCATTGTACAAAAAAGTACCTTCAGTGAGATGATGTTGTTAAGGTGTTTCTGGTAATGCCAAAACCAAAATGGTCAGCGGCCTTATGAATAAAAAGTATTTCTGAATGAAGCAAATGGCAACTGAGAAGAGGAAATAAGAGGAGTGAGTAAGCTGCGTCAGTGAAGATGAGGAAATTGTGTTCAGTGTATGACAGGTTTCTTTTTAGCTCTAGAAGCCAGTGCTAATTTACACATAACAAAAAGAAAGTATACCACAGAACAGCCTCAGGACCCCAGCTCACAGCAGCCCTCTTTACTGGGGACCTGAGTACCTTTTTGTCCTGCTGGTGTGGAGGTGGTGGCATGAGTTTGTGCTTTAAGCATGGGAATGCTCTTTGCAGAGTCATTACAGCAAACATAAGTGAACATGAAAATAATTAGCTTTCAGTCCTTCAATTCCTGCCATATCTCCCCTCGGATAACTGGGCTGAGAAATGAGTCTTAAAAAGACACCATCCCTATTCTCTTGAAGTGTCCCACTTCATGTACATGTTTCTGATCTTTTTCAACCTGGCAGTGGACTAACAAGTTCTGCTGCTGGTGGGCAAAGCACTGAAAGCATTAACAGGGCATGTGGAGGGGTTTGTCTGGTGGTATTTTAGCTCCTTGGCACACACTTCTCTCTCTAGGCAGTCTCTTGAGCTTTTCAAGGTGTTTTTATCCAACTGGAAGTCTCCTGTCTGCCCTTCTGGCTCACTGTCTGGCTGAGTTTTGCAGGTCATGCCTCCTTTACTTAACTGTGTCATGGCAGAGTTTGCTGTTGCCGTCGGAGCCCAAGTCTATCACAGTTTTAGACAATTAATTCTAACATTGCAGCGTTGTTAGGTTCGTGATACTCTTTTGGGATTTGAGGTATGCTAAATTGCATTATGCTTACCTGAAGAAACTTTGTTTCCTTGAAAGATTGGTTTGTAAAGGTGGTAAAAAAAATTAAATGCACTTGATCAGAGTGGGCATCATTTAAAGTTTGCATGAGAGCTTTGTTCCATCCATGTCTTGGATGCTTTGCCATATTTAAGAAAGTCTGTTCTGACAGTTTTTTGGCCTGCAGATAAAAGGTGCAATGTACCCTGGTTTGATATGCTGACAGAAAATTGTCTCCACAATGTATAAGGCTGCTGTGATTATTTCTAACCATTACCATTGGTCTCATTTTACCACTGTGCACATTATATAATTTGATGTTCATTTAATTTAATGAGAGGATGCTGCAGACTTATTTATGACTCGGGAGGGCAACCTGTATGCCTTGGCCACCTCTGTTAACCTTTCCAAAGGAGGAAGAGCATGTTTCTTACAGAACATGTTACAACATCATTAATACCTTTATATCCAGGTTTCCCAGATTGCTGCAGACAGGAGGGCGATTTGCCTGGGGTGCAGATTATACTGGAATGGAAGTAGAAGTTTGACTTCTTTCTTGAATTGCTTGTTAGTCTTTTGTTGTAAAGTTATGGCGTGGTATTAATGGACTTTTCCTTTTGTTGCAGATGGAATTTTGTGACTGGCTGGATTCTGAATAGGGCAAGGAGATGTGTCTGATAAGGTAAGAGAGAGAGTAAGATAAACATCTTACACGAAACAGTCTCACTGGTCTTGCATTCTGGTTGGAGACAACTATTTCATTCCCTGTCAAAAGTCTGCAAATGACTGAGGTACTTATTTGTACGTTGTCTGTTGCTGATCCTCTGAGCAGAGATTGTTTTGGTTCTATCTAGCTTCTGTCCCTCTCCTTTCTCCTGGTGGATTGATGTACAAAGTCTAGACAATAGAAATGCCAGTCTCTCAGGCGTGGGTTTTAGCCAGATTTGTTATACCTATCTTAGCATTGTAGAGCTTTCTTAAAGTTACAAGTGAGGTAAAAACCTTTTTGTTTAGGTTTGGGATTTTCCCTCCTTCCCTCAGGATATTTGAAAAGTAAAAAGATCTTTGAGCTGTTTTAGCTTCTATGCTTTGAAACTTGTTTTTCCTGTTGCAATATTTTCAAAAGCAGATAGTTTTTATTAAGATAGAATGTGTATGAATTAATACCTCTAGGTCTGAGTGTGAAATAAGAATTTTCTGTCACTGGTGTTCTGAAGGAAGCTGTATGTTTGCTGATTTTTAATAGCAACATTTAAAAGAAAAAGATGGGTTCAAATAGAAACTGGAAGATAAAAAGTTTCTGGTCCAGATGCTTTCACTGGTGGAGAGGGGTAGGTGTCTTTAAAGCTGGAAATGTTGGAATAACCATACTGGAACAACAAACAGCTGAAGATAGAAGTAGTGTGATGCAGGCACTATTTTTCTACTTGCAGTCCATCTAGCTTGTCACTTATCCTGCTCATTCATTTATGTATTTCATTTTGTCTCCTGCTGTCCTGCGCTTTGTGTAACTCAGAGGCCTCAAAATCCCTATTGTTCTTTGAGGCTGTTGGTTGGAAAGTGTAGTGAAAAGAGCTGAATGCATTATGTCATTACAAGAGGATCAGGACTAAAAGCCTTTTTCCTTTGATTCAGAGATTTAGCTCTTGTAGCCAGACTTGATTTATTTTTTTTCCATTTCAGTTTTGTTTGCATAGCGGAGTTGGAGGGTGGCTACCCATGCAAGAATTGAAAACTAAGGTGGCTCTTAGCCCAGCATGGAGTATGCAAGAATCAAAGGCTCACTTGTTTCTTAGTATTCAGCCAATGTCAGACCTTTTCCTCTTTGTCCATTCAAACCACACCCTTTCACACCACCATTGAGTTGCACTATGAATATGTAATTTAATGTCTCAGGAGGCCACCTTTGAGTAGACAGTGTGCACATAGCTGGTAAAATATAGCTCTTCAGGTGAGAGGTCTGGCAGTCTGCAGTGCTATTATGTAAATGCATACTTTGCTTGTTATGTAAACCATCTTCTTCACTCGCACATGTTGGAACTGGCCTACCTGTGTTCCAAGAGTGGATAATTACATCTGCATTCAGGACTTCTTAGAGTGTGCAGCTCAGCTGAACTACCATCCCCTTGTGTGTTGACCACGTGTCACCGTGATGGTGACCACAGCCATGGTGTTGCCGTTGCCCATGCACAGCCAGTGTGTGGAGTCAAACACGGGTTAACTATGAATGCTTGTGTTCAAGCTGGTTTGGTCTAGCAAATTCTGTTGATTTTGGAAATAATTTTATTTTTCTGGTGCTTTTGTGTGCGCTGCTTTTGCGCGCAAGTTGGACTGTGCCTCAGTACTCACTCAGCTGCTTGCTTTCCTAAGGCATTGCTCCTAATACTTACTGAATTGATGTAACTCATTCATTTAATTTTTTGTTTAAAGCATTGCTCTATGCTGCAAAGTGGATATTCATGAATCTGTGCTCTTTAACCTGTGCAGTTTGATTTTTTTTTTTTTTCCTTTTTTACTTGCTCTCTCCTTATCTTATAAAACAGCCACTGAGGGACCTTTGCATCCTGACCATCTTCTGCAGCTTAAGGCATTGACACCTTTTCTCACCATGGCTTTATTGCCAGCCCCAGGCAGGTACGAATAGCGAGTCAGGTCCCTAGAAATCATAGAATTGGCTTTGAAATGAGATTCTCAGAGAGCGAAGTTAGCACTTCCCTCTGGCTCTCATCTTTTACCTCTAGAAGACTGTGTCCTCACTTCATGTGATACCATTTCAGGGTTGAAATTAATCTGGAGCTATGAATGTCTGTGCCTTATTCTCTTCTCTTGGCTTTCAGAGGGGCTTCATTTGTTCCTTCCCCAGCAGCCTGGGGCAGAGAGGTGCCACTGTCCTACTTCCTATCTTCCTGCCTCACAGGAAGAAGTGAACGGTCCTGTTCAAACTCTTGCCACCATTGTCAGCTGTTCCTTGTTCTTATGTGTATGTAGTTTTAATGGATATTTCCTAACCTGTTCCCTGCTACCACTCCTTCTGCTGTATTATGAAACATTCACGAGATCATCGTGAGACACGATGGATGCCAGAGCTCTCACCCAGCCTATTCTTTTCCTTTCCTTTCCCTGTATTTCCTTGTGACTTTCTCCCTTCCTTCCAAGGAGCCCAAGGCCCTTGTGAACTACAGGGGCTGTCTGATGATTTGGATCAGAAACATAAAATCATTCTATAAGACCTAATCTATTTTCAGAGGTACATCTGTGAGATAAAAATGGCTTTGATCATTGAGACAGCGTTGTGTCATACTGAAAAGGAAATGACAAGGAAGTAACTGTAACCAGGCCTACTTTCACCTTCCGTTAGCTTAGACTTGATGGATTGCTGCTCCAAGGTCACTTGTCTTAACAGTTCCAAATTAGATTGCCAATTAATATTGATCATCTGAAAAGCAGTGTGTTGATGTATATTCTGTTATTAATAGCTAGGGCATGCTGTGTTAATGCATTTTATAGTAGCAATCTGTTTTACAAACATTTCTGGTTGTTCTTTTTGAATGATTCTTGGCAGTGAAAAACACTTGCTTAATACACTGAGAACTACAGCATCTCACTGAAGTGTTTATGTTGTTTTTTTTTTTTTTTTTTTTTTCCCCCCTCCATATTTTGGATGTTCTGTTCTTGTTTTTTACAGGGAATAACAAGTGGTTTTGATGAGACCAGACTGAGGTGAAGTGAGAGAATGATTTCTGTCTAATCTGGTTGTGCAATGTAGTTTCTTCTTATGTTAATGCATGTACGTGCAGAATTTTGGCATCACTGTTGGATTAGAATTACTAATTTCCTTTGACATTGCTTATGAATATTTTTGTCTCCTTAGAAGACATCTTAGAGAAGCATTCAAAGTAAGAGAGTTTGTTTGAATAAAAAAATTACAGGTATTTTGAGTTCCCTTTCTTGTGTTATTTGGTTGTTTTGTCACAGTACGTGGAAAGTACCTGGAAAGTACAGGGAGGAAAATGGGAAATCTCTCATGCATAAGGAAAAACTTCTAAATAATGGAGTTTTGGGGGGAGAAAATATCTACATAAGTGTAGACATCAAGGTAAATGCTTTTTCCTTTTCTTTTTCTTCCAGAAAATTTGAATATTTGCACAACTTGATGTTGCAAGTTGTAAATGCTTAACGCTTCTGAAAGAATAAATTACTTCAGTGCCTGACTGTGTAGATAACTGTCAGCTTCAAAGGATGAAGTGAGTTAGAAGGAATGTCTGGAGAACTCAGGGCTGGCTAATATTAGGCAGAATACTGAAAGTGAGAGAATATATTGAACTAACATAACAAAGATCTAGTTATAAGTGTATGTATAAGTTAAGACTAATCATGTTATGGAGAGCAAATTTCTGTGGTTCTGCTTTTAAAGTGGAATACTCACTTCCCCCTTCCCATCTCTGTTGCACTGGGATTCCCAGGCTTGCTGTTGTAAGGTCAGTGCTTCTGTAAACATGCAGATGGACAGTGACCTATCCAATGTTTCTGAAGCTATTCTTATGACAGAGGTCACCTTTCACTGTAGGGTATTCACACGGTGAACTGTGTGGTTCTGTAGGATGCAGGTAACTTTGTCTGCAGTCTTGATCAAACAACTAAGAGAAACTGAAATCAGCTCTGTAAAACACACAGTTAAGCTTTGGGGCTGAAATGAAAAGAGCCATTTCACTTTTTGCTTGAAAAGTGAACTAATCTGAAGTTCCTCTCTGAGTACATAAGCACAAACAAGATGGAGTGCATTTGTCATTGCACGTTGGATTGGGTTGCATGTTACCTATCTCCCGCTGCCCCCGGCACTGTCTCTATCGCTTGCATGGCTGCTCAGTGAGCCATTGCAGAGCACTAGCTCTTACTTCTCCTTAAAATTATTTTTCTGGCCTGAGTCCCTGGGCTGTGCGCATCCATCAGGAGATGGGGTGTGCAGAGCAGGTGACCTCCACCTGGGGAGCGTTCTGCGTGCCCAGTCTGCCAGACGAGTGTGAAAATAGCCCTGGAAGCCAGGAACTTGTAACTGCAGCTCTGCTAATGACTACCCCATGGTTTGGGGCAACTCCCTTGGTCCTCTTTGAGTCAGCTCCCCTTTCAGTAACAAAGTGATAATACTCCTTTGTAGCATATTGCTGAAATGATTAATTGTTGTATATGATGCTGTAAGTATCAAGATCCTACCGTGTATCGTTATAGTTGGTGCAAAGTGGCCTCTCTCAAATCCTGTTCAGAAACCCTAGCTACAAAAAACAGAGAAGGTTTGGGGGTTTGTTTTTCGTGGGGGGTTTTTTACCTCTTAACTTCTGAAACAAATCAAATTGACTCTCGGTACTAAAACGTTAACCACCAATACCAGCCATCTGGATCGTGCCCTCCTCGCCTTACCTTCTTCCTCTCCACATCTCTCATGACTTTCTACTCTTCATACCATTTTTTTTTCCTAACTGAATTAAAGATAGGGTTCTGGGAGAGTTAAAAGGGAAATTTTAGTTGAGGCTGATGGTGAAATTATAGCAGAGAGGCTAATGCTTCGCTGCTGATGTAGAGAGAGAGATAGGGAAATGTCCTGCTTTTCTTTCTCTAAAACTTGATCTGGGTGGAGTCTGTGCAGTTTCCAAACTGGCTTCTCTTGCCAACCTGAAAAATGCCAAT